TATCCAACCATTTTAAAGTTTTTTCATTTTTATCCCCGGCTTCAGCCAAAATTTAAACTGATTATCTAATGATTTTAGCTAAAGGTAAATATCGGATTCCACATTTGTTTCGCGATTTTTTTTTTACTTATCCTTTCATTAGTCTAGATTAGACAAGATCTTGGAGGTCGTGCTCATAAAGAAGTTCAAGTTCTTGGTTCTCTGTACAGGGATCCTTTGTACTTTCCAATACAATTTAGTATATGTTGGGAAGGGGCCTCTTCGGTGATTTGCGAATTAATTTGCTGAAGTGAAATTTGATCGACAAAAGGGGAAAAAAGAAGGTTTTTGATCGGTTTGCTTCAGAACCTGTGGTCACGTGTCTTGGAACCTATGTGACGTAGGGCGACGCTGTCGATCTGAAAGATATTACAGTGACCTTTATTGGAGACACACGAGATAACTAAGTGAACATCTCTGTCTACTTAAAAATATTAGACGACCATCAGCAGCAAAGACTTTCTACTTCCTTAAGTTTTTCTCATAAGTGTATAGCGGCCTTGTGATATGGAAATATATTTGCTTGAAAGGAAAACATTGGTATCTCGGGAGTCGACAAGGGCGAAGTTTAAAAAAAAAAAGGGGCGGCGAGTTCAAACATCCAGGACAACACCCGGGCTGTAATAAAGTGTCGCGCTGTTATTAAAGCACTGACACGCCTGTCAAAACGGAAGTCTTTCATCAGAGAGACACTTGTTCCCTGACGTTATTCCAATAGGGACACTAGGACAATATTGGACAAACGTCTTTTTTTCTTGGACGTTCCCTGCTGAGCTAGTGGTTGACACTTCAAGGTTATCCGACATCGGTCCATCGACACTACTGAGACAATTTCTATTGGTCGCCATTATTCGTGTAAAAATCTTATAATAACGATATCCCGCTTATAGCGTTGTTATTGATCCCAATCTCAAATTGCCTTTTAAGATTTTTATCCATTAAAACCTTTTGTCTCGAGAGGCCACTGTATACAACTGGGTAAAATCACAAATGTCTTAGCACCACCTTCACTCTTAGTGGTCATAAATGACAGGTAATAAGCCTAAATATTGATGATTTTGCGATTTCTATTATTTTTTTAATAACGCAAATTTGGAGTGTGGTTTAGAAAAAAAGAAGCAATCATTACTGAAAAAAAAGCTAAAAATAAGTCATAAATATGGCTGTCTATATTTGACCTTCCCAAGTACTGTAGGAAATGTCCTACTATATAGTACCAGGAAGGGAGGAATCTCTAACTGGCGTTTCTACGTGACGGAGGGTGGCTCTATAGCAACAGGAGAGATAAGTCTCCATCCTGATATGGAGGATTACTTGTCTTTGAAGTTGTGGAAACGGCTTATAAAAGCGGTTAAATCTACTATTGGGTCAATACTATATAATGCAGAAGGCAAAGGTAACCTCCACATTGTTTTTCCCATGAAAATCCTCAATGGATGGACCACGACAACCAAGTCTTATCATCCTATGAATCAATCGACATAGAAGAATCTGGTTGAGAAGAAGTTTCTCATACACAGTCTCTGTACTTATTAGCTCTCTATTGAACTAATATCAATAAATAATTTTTTTTTTTACTTATCCTTCAATAAATAAATAATAATACAAAGTGTATATTTACATATATACATGCATGCATATTTACAAATGATGCATATACAACATTTCACCGTTGTAAGTTTAAATAAAACACTTATTGTTCACTATTGTTTAACATCAGACTCTACCATGTAAAATGAACAGTACAAGAACTATTAAGCACGAATTTTGGGAGGGCCTGGCTCATCAGTGAGAAACCCTCTTAGCGGTTTTGTTAGTTTAATCCGCCAGAACCAGCTTTAGAGCTCTACTACTGTATTCTGCTTATATAACCGACATTGCCGGAGGGAATCTTGGTTTTGGCATCAAAGTATGGACATAGGCTTTGAGGACAGTAGAATTACATGTAAATATTGGTACAATGGTCTTCCACAAACAATTCATACTAGAGAGACAGACCAGTTAGGAATAAATTAAACGTGAGGCAATAACGCGCCATCTATATCCTATAAATGGAACTGCTTTTAAGCATCAATTTTTCATTTATAAATAAAAATAAAATATCGCAGTAAGAAGTTTGCCTTAGTTTTAAAGAAATAAATCTTAAAACTTAAATAGTTATATTTCGTAGATCTTATGTTTTTGTAATTCAAATATCAAGGGAAATCTAAATAGAACGCCAAAAACAGGATGAGATAATCTACAAACGTACTCCATTCTGAAATGTATCAAGATGGCCTAAACGAGAAAGATAACCGATTTTTTTAGATTTATTCGTCGGTCGGCTGATGAAGAATAAGAGTTGAGGAAAACTTCGAAATTGGTGAGAAGCTGTGTGTGAGGTAGCGAATGTCCAGATATAAGCTGACGGTTTTACGGAACTCTGCCAGCCTGTAGCCCAATCTTGCCAGGTCAGCTACTCCGAGGATCCCGTCAGCCACCAGTTCGACACCAGGCTTGGACATCGCTCACTCCACCACCACCAACTTGGTATAAAGTACCAACAGGAGTCAGGTGACAAGCACCAAATAATTCGGTCTACTCAGGAATGACATTCTCTCTCAGGTTGGCCTCATCAATCCGAACACACAACACCCTCCTTGTAGGAAACCACCCGTCTGTCTTCCTCAGTGAGCGACACTTCCATAAAACTATACCTAAGCTAACCAACAATAACATTCAGTGATTCTGAATATTGAGCAGTCAATAGAAATTTTGACTTGACACATGTAAACACACAGTTTAGAATCTCTTAGATGTTATTTTAATTTATATTTTTTATTTTCGAATTTTATTAATCAAGAAAAGCTAACCACGTACTTTTATTTGCATGATCAGGAGATGCCTTTCTCTTAATTTATACACCTGATCCCAGTACACTTTTGTACTATTTTTTCATAACCTTATAATATTTAGCTCTTGACACCCATCCCTCCTCCCCAAATATTTTCTCTTCTAAATATTATATACTATTTAAATTACATACATACAATATTTTAGGAAATAAACAGAGAATTTAAGACAATCTCCCTATTAGCTCTATAAAAAGAAACACAGGTCAGGAACAAGAGATTCTATAAAGAAAGAAGCTAGTCTTGTGTTTCTTCTTTTATCAGAGAATATATTATTTCCAATTGGCAACATTTATGAAGACAGCCGATGAGAAGGTCGAACTCTTGACTATATTCTGGAAAGAAGCTCATAGATAGAATTTTCAGCGCTTTGTGTTGCCTTTCTCAACGTAATTTTTATCCCCAGATAACACACACGCACCAAAGAAGACGGCAGTAAGGAGAATGTATCTCCAGCACGACGTACACAGACAGGACAAACGGAGAGAAAGAGGAAAGTGTCGTCCAGCTGAGAAAGTCTTGGATGGCGTTGTTTAATTAAAACCAGCTTTGAATATTTTTGGACAGTTTAATTAAGATTGTTGCAACTCCTTTCTTTTTTATTTTGATAACCTAATTATGTCGTCATCCTGTGTTTTTGTGGCGTCGACACTCTCCAGCCCGCTGCTGTCTCTCACGTCTACTGGTTCCTTCTACTCTTGATCATTGGCTATAACCCGGTTGGTACAGAAGACCTTTAGTTGAAGAAAGGATTAAAGAGAGGTTAAAGAGAGGATATTCAGTAAAAAGTTAAATAGTAGGCTTGTAGGCTGATATGGATCTGATATTGAGGATGGTGTTGCATGGGAAAGACGGAGGAAAGAAGATTTGAAGCATTTTAAAAGTGAATGAATAGAAAGAATTGTTTGATGGAAGATTGGAGAATTCTTGAGTGGAATGGGATGGGCATGAAGCCTGCTTAAAGTAATCAGAAAAACACAAAAATTCATTAACAAAATTTAAGGAAGTGGAAGGTCTTCGATGTAGCCGGTCGTTTATTTTTCTTTAAAGGAGACAGAGTCAAATTTGTTCATACTTGATTATCTCATGTGTCTTCAATAAAGGTCACTGTAATATATTTCAGAGTTATTGTCTCAATCCCGATATACATGCTAAAAGGTACAACTTCCTTAAGTCCATGAGTGTATATATTTTAATAAAAAGGATTGATGAAGAAAGAAGTTCAGAATATAAGGATTGGCAACAGACAGATAAGTAAATCGACCTAATGGACTGGATGCAAACTAGAAAGAAAGAAGTTTGAGAAACCACTGGAGCGACCTCTGCTCAGAAACTGAGGAAGAAATCTCACGACTGGACACTGGCCACGTCATTACAATCTTTGTCATCCAAATGAACGCACAATTAGGACGATACCAATATCTCAATTCGTTTGATAGAAACAAAACTACAAAAAACGGGGAGAAGTTTCTTTCATTTATAAACGTTTGTACAAGCAGCTTTCGGACAACCTTCTACTGATACCATCTATGTATTGTACAAGATGTATTATAACCGTAGAGGGGTGTCTAGCCTGAAATCTTGTACAAACGTTTATAAATGAAAGAAACTCTTCTCCCAGTATTGGATATTTATAAATGAACGATGCTGACCACCTGGGGTCAGCTGGCCCGGCTGATAGTACCCTGTAAGGGCTCCTAATCCAGGGATACAGGATGAGCAGTGTTTGTACTTCATGTTAGGAGCGGCTGCACATGGTGTCTGTTCCTCATGTCAGAGGCGGCCATTTCTTTTGGAGCTAAGTCGGCCTGCCACTGAGTAGTGCTCCCAGTCTTAATAACAAAGGCAGACGCATTCTACTTCACCCAGCCAAGTCTCAAGCTTTACAGTCTTGATACCCTAATATGATTGAGTGGAGATAAGAAAGAAGAAGACGATGCTGACCAAACATCACAATATCTCAGCCTGGACAAGACAAGCTAGGTGTACGTAAATATCTTCATTTACGGGGCTGCTTACCAGAATGGATTATTTTTGAGCCCCGATGGACGCATAAAGCGAAAAGAAAAGTGGCAGCGGTGGGATTCGAACCCACGCCTCCGAGGAGGCCTTGAACCAGCGCCTTAGACCGCTCGGCTCACAAGCTAGGTGTACACGAGACGAGTCAGGATCACTCACTCCCCAACTTCCAGTAACTCACTTAGCCCTCCTCCTCCATTCTAAAGCCTCCAGATCTCACATAATTAAATTTTAATTATTTTAATTTAGCGATGGCCCATAATTAAGGCAATTTCTAATGGACGACGTAATTAAGGATATTTTTAGCAATTACTGACACCCTAAGTGCAGGCAGTATACCGATGGTGTTATGGATTAGCTTCTTTCTATCTATTTCTTGGATGGAATACTCGGGCAATCCAATCCTTACATCTCACCACGTGGCGACAATGGATGCATTCATTGTTCCAGGATTTCGACGACAAATTATAAAAAAATCATAAGACGCCCCTCTTTCTAATTACATTAATTAAAGGAAAGCCTTTCGGACAAGCCCTTCTTCAGTCAATTAAACGTATAAACAAGACAATGGAGAGAGAAAGGATATATAGCATTGCCTTGTGTATAAGGTTTGGTAGGCTGAAGAAAGGATTGTCCGAAAGCTTCATTTAATTAATGTAAATAAGAAGAATTCGCAGTCTTATATTTTTTATAAAGGATGTAAGAATAAAGAGAATACGGCGTGATTGACACTCCTCAACCATCCAACCACAAACTGTTTTCACAACGGAATATATAAATGAAGAAATGAAGGGCTTTTTCTCTCTCCCCAGTGATTTATGATAAAAATGTAAATGTTTCATAAATTAGAGAATGAAACCCTTAAATGTTCACTAGTTGTTTTCCTTATCCAGTATTCCCATGGTACAGGGCGTGATAATCATGGAAAGTATTTGGAGACTGTCTTTTACTATAAGAGTACACCACAGGTCTACCCAAACATGTAGAAAGCGGTTCGACTTTTGCATTAATACGTGCCCGATTCCTGTTTGGTTACTAACACTCACTAGTGGGGTTGAACCTGTACAAGGAGACAGAATCGTTGAGGCAGAAAAAAATTGCCCAATGTGGGACTCGAACCTGGGTCGTGTTTGCGTCGAAATTCTCGGGTGTCCCGGATGTCACTGTTTGACGGATTTCTGTGTCAACAGAGGGTTGGTTGACCGAGGGAGTTGTCTACACATTTGTGTCCGTAGGGATCTAACACAGCTCCGACTACCACAGCTCCGACTGCTCAACAAACTTATCTACCAACTATCAAACACATCTTAAACAATAGATTATTGCTCTAACGAGTGGTGTGGCGATGTAGATAGATGGTTTTATTGTCCAGGCCGGTTGTCCTCATTTCTATGTGAACGAGACGTGTCTGTTGATGCCGGATCTTGTTGTAGGAGGCGGTAGAGCATGGAGAAGTCGCTGTGACGATGTATCTCGCGTAAAGGTCGGAGAGATGCGTCGCTCTATGAAGACTTTTTTAAATACGATCGTGAGAGCGTCTTCAGAGCGAACATCTCAGTTCGCTCACTCTCCGCCAATTCTACGAGGGATCCACAGCGGTGATACCAATTGTAAACACGGAGATGTGCACCGGGGGAGAATGGCTCACCTACCAACATGCATCAAGTCAAAATCTTCTGAGAGTTCTTTTTAAAAATTCTTTAATAAAAATTAACAGGTGATGATAAATGTCTTAATAATGATGATAATGAACGCCCCAAAACCAGTTGTAGCAAATTCATACAAAAAAGTAAACCCGTATACCAATCTTTATATTTATATAAAGTTTCTGAAACCTGATGTCGTGTATCATTCTTTATCATGGCTAGTAAAGTGTTTTACCTGGGTGATGTACCATCGTTCTGGTAGACAATTAAAGGGAGAGCAGTCTCTTCTGGGACATGAATATCCCGCAACTTTGTGTTATATATGTGTGTGTGTTTTAAAATATAGAGCACTTAAATCATTAGATGATACATAGGTATATGTTAGATTGAATTAACATGTTTATTTCCCAATATTTTGGGTGTCTGAACGCCAACATTTGTCAAGGTATTATAGTTTGTTTAAACAAGTAAACAAGTTGTTTAAACAAGTGTTACAGTTTGATAAAGCACAATTTGGATTATAGATTATAATAAAAGAAAATAAGACCTAATCCAAATAATTTATTAGTGTGTGACGTTTCGGCAACAACAACAAATCATTTTATTCTTTTGTCTAATGATGGTGACAATGTTGTTGCTGAAACGTCACACACTAATAAATTATTTGGATTAGGTCTTATTTTCTTTTTTTAAATAAATATTACAGTTTGTAATTTATCAGCAAAGGTTGGCGTTCAGCCAACCTAAATATGGGTAAATAAATCTTTCTATTCAATCCAATATACGCCTTTTTACCATCCAATATATATATGTATATATATATGGGAGTGTGTCAATCAGTAACGCTAAGTTCTCCCAGACATGTGTCGCCCACGTGAAGTGGCAGAGAGTGCAGCCGCGGGGAGGGAGGTTTCAACTTGACAGCAATCGACGTAATGTAATTATATAACAAAATGACTTCATTACCATAATTAGCAATTATAAAATTAATGAGGGCGATGAATTTAGGGCAAGTTTAAATAGAGTTTCGTCATAGAAGCTAATTGTATTTTTCTACGTCGATCGACACGCCATCCGACATCTCTATTTACATACATACTTTGACAACCTCTCACATTCGATCGTGTGGCTCAAAAGTAGGGAGTACCTCCTCAAGTCTCTCAGATCTAGACCCAGACACAAAGCCTCTCTCGCCGAGTTTCTCGGCACTGTCGCCGAACATGCTCACGATGACCACCCCTTAATTCAAAGGGGAATATACGAGCTCAGGCTGGCTCTGCGCTCCTAACAGAATCAAGTTTATTGTAAATTTTTGTAGTTTCTCCCATTGACTTTGGGTGTAATCATTGACTAAAAGTCAATAAAATTATTTAATTGTCAAATTGTCATACTTACATACATATATACATACATATATCCATACATACATACATCTTGTTTTAAACCTCTTTATAGCAAGATTATCTCTGAGATATGTTAAGGGAAATTAGTATATTGGAAATTACGGGAGAATATGTTACATTCATACGTGCAAAAATTATCTCATCATTCAAATAAAAGAACTGGTGGAAGGACAGGCTAGGTAATGAAGACAATATTAGGGAGGGATGTTTGACTTTATGAGGAGAGGAAAACCAGTACGTTTGGTCATTTTGTCCGACACTCAGAGTGGTATTTTATTGAAATGCACGAAGTGATGGCTAAATTTAAGTCGAGCGTCAAGACATGGTAAGCGAAAATTCGTAAAACATATATGTTCATAGTTCTTTAAAAAAAGAGAGCGCTTCGCTCCGAAAATGTTTTTTTCCTTCTTTTTAAAGAACTACACTCAAGGAAGTTGTATCATTGTAGCATGTATATCGGGACAATAACTCTGAAAGATATTACAGTGACCTTTATTGAAGACACACGAGATAACCGAGTGTGAACAAAATTTATTTTATAATACAATATAATGCGGCTTATGCTTGAAATAAATTTTGATTTTTCGTTTAAAAGAAACACATGCGGGATAATTTTCAAATGACGATCTACAAAATTGCTTTTGTCTTCTTAAAAAAAAAAAAAACAGAAGACCGGAGACATCAAATTCCTTCCACTTTCTCAAGTTTTGTCCACGAGTGTATGTATGCCGGTCAGGCAACCTCTATCTTACCATTAAAAGACAAAACAACAACAACAGGAACAAAAACCAGACTATGACAGCGACATCAAAGACTATAAACTTCCTTAAGTTTATGCCCATATGTCCATGAGTGTATGTATGCCGGCCAGGCAACCTCTAATTCCCGTATGATTAGATATATGGGTTATACATAACATGGAGAAAGACATATTCATTAATAACAGTCTGGTACTGTCGACATTTGGTAACCACGATGGACCGGTGAGCGGGTCCTCCAGTACTATAGGTCCTCGGGATCTCCGGCCCATCCTTCCCCAGCAACGGACTTCATGTCACTGACAGTCCAGCAGTTATCCCACATCTCTCTTTACTCTATTACATATCTGATATCCGAATGTTTTCCTCTCACAGAGTGCCGTCCATGTTTCACGTAGTTTACTTCTTTTCTGCATGTTCTTCTCTCAATTGACATCTGAGGTGTCGTTAGGCTGGATGCCATTGCTCTTCCCTTTTGGTGGGGTAGTTTCCAAACTTCCATAGATTAGTGAAGGTAAACATTGGGCTAGCGCCTAGGTTTGACCATATATGTAACCAGTCTATAGTCTTTATGTCTATTACAATGTTCTCCACGCTCCTTGGATATCTTCATTCCAGATCGTTATTCATCCGAACTCTTATATCCCCAGATATAAATAAACTGAATTGATTTATCATCCATTATGTTTCCTTTAACAATAACCTTGTTGTTATTTGTGGAAGAGCATTTCTCGATGTAAATATGTAATTCTACTCCTGAAATCTCATGTCCATCGTTTGCTTAAATACCATTTCTAAGATTCCACACTTCTGTGTAGCATATAAAACAGAATGATCCAATACAGTATTAGAGATTTAAGAAGCAGTTTGGTAGAATAAATTGGCGAAACCGCTGGGAGGGTTCACCACTGATGAGCCAAGCCCTCCCAATATATTTATATTTTCCATCGCAGTAAGGACAGTTGAAGTTTGTTTTATGTGTAAAAGAAACATTCGTGCTTTAATCATCTCTTATCTTATATATAAATATATATAGGAAGGCTCCATCAGGGAAATTTAACGAAGTGTGTACTTCAAGATCTAAGAGATTCGTCTTATCCTTCAGAGAGCTGGGGTCCGGTAGAACACAAGAGACATCATCAAAAGACAAATCGATGTACACCCACTTCACAATCCTCTATCTACAATAGATGGATAATAAACATCCTTTATTTAATTGTTTCCCCATCAAATATTCTCTACGTATAATTAAACATTGACACAATAACTTTACACATTTAGTTATGTAAATCACAATATATACATATTTCCTCTC